GCTGTTGCTAGTTACAATGAAGAATGCACAAAAAGTACATTGTGATGTTTAGACATAGAGGCAGAAGAAGAAACAATACATGCTGACCAAGACAAGTTAGAATGGTAACCTCTCTATAGGCTAGATCCAACGATGACAATGAGTGCTATTTTTTATTTGATGGCTACATAGAGAGAACTGTTTTTTCGTATACATTGATAAGCTGGTGATAAGGAAATATATAGAGTGGTGGTGAAGAGGAGAGCAAAATAACTGCCTGGAAGATTCAGAAGAGATTTCTGTACGTGCTCAGCACATGCACAATAGCTACTTTCAGCTATTTGAAAAGCCCAGGTGGTTTCAGAAGAAGGGACAAAGTGAAACAAAATGACCATTTCATTTTTCAAAGCCAAGTCATATTGCTTCATTGAAGAGCTTCAAAGGCATTTGTTACATGCAAAGTAAATTTACTCCAGGAGGCAAGCTTTCTCTTTATTTCCAAGTTGGATCTTCCTTTGAGAGCTTCTGTCCATTGCTTCTTGTCCTACCCTTGGGTACTATGAAGGAATTCATAAACGAAGGGGATATTGGAAAATGCTTAATTAAGGCTGCTTTTTAAAAGCAAAATTGGCTTTAAATTGTGCTTTATGGAATCTTTAAGACTGTCTCTTTTAGGTGATCGATTTCTCAGTTCAAAATTTTTATATCACAACGTGTGTATTATGAATAAATTTATATGCAGAAATGTTGCATGCAAAAATAACAGTTGATTCCCTTTCTATTTTTTAAAAACAAGATGCAGAAATCCAACAGAACAAATGGACGACTGAATGTATGAAAAAACTGAAATAGAGATATACTTTATTAGAGATATACTTTATTCCAAGAGGCCTGCTCTAGATTTATTTTATATTGGACTGAATTTCAGATAATGTTCATTCCAATCTGACCCTAAGCCAAAACTTGGAAACAACTATTTTTTAAAAAATTAGAAATATAACTTTTCTTCAACTGCAGAGTTTGCTACTCCCTTTGATTCAGACCTAGAAACTCTGAATAATTTATGTTGACATGCATCATTGGTTCTACACTTGTAATTTTTTTTCTTGCTTTTTTCTTGCAGAAACTGGAAGCTTCTCAGTTCTGCCTTGACCCAGGACGGATTACATGATTTTAAAATGACTGTTCAAACAGCCTTTTGAAACAATGCAGAGGTGGCAGGATCTCCTAGCTGAATCTGGAATAAATGAACATGGAACCACAGAGGATTCTGTTAAGAAAATGCCATTTTTTTCTTTCTTGTGGAAAGAGAGAAGAATTATGAATTCAAGCAGCAATGTCTGGTATTTGAATTATACAAAATCTCAGAAATATATAGGTACATGCAATATGTACATTTATGATTTCTATCCCATGGGTGTCAACTTCATCGAGTCACGTTGCCATCATGTAATGTATCACAACGTTTTTTCCCTTTGTGGAGCTGGAATGGGCGTGGCCTGCACATGACACATCCAGCTTGCGGGCCGCCAGTTTGACATCCTTGGTCTACCCCGTCCTCCTTCATATAGTCCCATTATTGCTAAAGTTAGAAGATTCATTGTAGTTGTTCTGGTGACTTAGTTTCCTAACAGTGCTTTATACATATCTAAAAATTATCAAATGGTTGCCCAGTGATAGCTGATTGATCACTTTGTATTCTGTCACCGAATGCAAAATTTGGAACAGTTCATATGACATTTTTATAAGATCATTCCACCCATTTATTTTAGTCTTATTCTCACATCATCAAGATTTACCAGCATATTTTTTTAAGCCGTACTAGCCATGGCTATGTTTACAACTTCTGAGTGGCCTAACCTATCACAAATGTTTTTGTTATTTATAGTTGTAGATTATTTTGAGTTTGGGAGCTTCATTCTGTAAGAACTCCACTGGATACTTCCCAATTCCTATATACTTTTCCATGAAACAAATGTGGGGCCAAGTATAATCTCTCTAGATGAGCTTCCAGGAAACCAATTTTCAAACATTTCCAGGAAAATCCATAAAAATGATCTCTGGATTGTGAAGAGAAACAAATGTCCTAATTAAGCAGCCTTGTACAAATAAAAAAAAAAGGTTAAGATAGAAAACAAACCTCTTTAAACATAGAATAAATAGGTAAAGCAGATAATAACCTATTAGAGAGATACATATATTATGGGGCTTGGGATGTGGAAATTGGCAACCAACACCTGTCCCTGTGTACACCTTTGCATGCACACATTCTCATCAGTCTCCTTTCCCAGTGTTGTCTTTGGAGTCTCCATCCCTTATAAGTTGACAATATTAAAGGCAGAGTATCTAGTAAAAAAATATACATTGCTAGTGACTCATTTTGAACCGTGTGATTGGCAGCATATAAATTTAATAAATAAATACATCTGACTTTCTCAGCCTTGCTTTTACTTTGGTTCTCTTTGTTTTAGAGGACTAAGTGAGTGGGCAACATAGTGTGTTTTATTAGATTCTGGGGTGCCCACAACATAAATCGGGGCTTCCAAACTTGACAATATGGCTGGCTGAGGAATTCTGGAATTGAAATCCAGAAGTCTTTAAAGTTGCCAAATTTGGAGACCCCTGACATAGCTAACTGGTGACCTTAGTTTAAACTATGCCAAGCTGCATTGGTTTTGGCATTTCTACTGCTCACCAAACTTGTCCATCTAAGGTGTCTGGGGATGGGTAGAGAAATGGCAAAATGACTGTGGTGACATTACACCACAAGCTCCACTTCTTTTGTGTTGGCATGGAGACAATATACATATATACAAAAGGGATGGAGCTTGCATCATGCTATTGTGATTCTTGTTTCATCATTGTGATGATATGATCAGATTCTAAGATGTCTCAGTCTCCCACAACAATCCTGTTATGTAGGTGGTGGGCAATTCATTGATCTAACGAATTCCAAAGAGAATTGAGCAATCTACAACTTATTGCTAGTTAATTGTCTACTGGCTTTCACACTTCCCAGTGTTGTGAGACAGTCAGATAAATATTTGAATAATGTTATTTTGCTTGAGGAAAAATATGATCAATGTGTATTTTGAGAGGAAGCACAATTAAATATACACATGTAAGTGTGAATTTTCATTCATTTTTTTAATAAAAAAACCAATGCAATTTATAAAGATTTAAAGAATTATATGAACATATGAGCAAACGATAAGAGTCTCAAAATGGATTGATTCACCCAAACCTGATTTTTCCTGTGTGGGGAAAATGTGTCTTGTGAGTCTTGTGCCTGAAAAAATATGCTATACAATTCTTAAACTCCAAATTATCTTTTTTTATTTTGGTAATTTCTAAGGTTGTCCAACTGCACAACAACTTTGATTCTTCTTCAACTAATTGGAATCTTAGACTTATTCTTCAAATTATTAATTTCTGTATTGAAATTAAGGAGGCAACAACAACTGTACCATTTTAAAAAGATGTATTGTACTTTGTAATTTACTATTTTTCATAATTTCTTGGTAGAAAGAATGATTCCTTCCATGAAGAAACCTCTTTTTTTCCTTTTGTTTTGGAAGGAGATAGCTTGGTATAAGGAGAGAAACATACATTAGGATAGGTTGACTTTTGTATGTTTGTTTTGTGCTGCTTTATTTATTTCATAGTACTTACAATCTGCCTTAACCCCATAGAATTATGGGTTATAATCAACAATGAAAAACTACCTTCTAAAAAATAAAACAATATAATTCCTTCAATCAAAATAGCTTTAAGTTTATGCTCACTGCTGGCCAATGCAACACTTTTGATACAGTGAGTTTTCTTTTTCTTTTCTTTCTGTCATTTCTCTTTTGGTAACTTAACTGCAGAGACCATCATGAGTTTAAGGACAGCCAACTTTTGGGAAGGCTGTACGTTTTTGTCTTGAACAGCACTCCAAAATGCAGAAACAACGCAAAAGGAAATTTATTTCCCCAGGGTGCCAGAGAAGACTTCATCTGCTTAAATCTGTATATATGAGGTAGCTATTATTGATGTAACTAAGAAAATGGCACCTGTATATATTTAAAAAAGTTAGAAATTGTAGACATTGCACTTGTAAGTAGGAAAATAATTCAATACTTATAGATTATTGTAACTTTAGAATTCTTGCTGCCTTGGAGATCTTCTTTTGAAAGAAAAAAAGCAGTTCTTCTAAATGTGTACAGAATTCTAAGGCCAACTTTAATAGGAAAACAGTAGGGTGGAGGTCAATCCACCTTTCTCCTACATAACAACCTCAATTTCAATCAAGAGTTCCTGTGGCTAAAAAGGGCATAGAAAATGCTACCCCTTCTCTCTCTTTCCTAAAAGCAATTAGCATAACATGCATTTTAACCCTGATTAGGCAGTTTTCTTTCCTTCAGCATATGAGGCCAATTTCTCAGTATTTAGGGATGATGCTGTAAGATTTATATTTGCAATTTTTGTCAACATCAGGGCTGTTAATACTTGTCTTTGACTCATAGGCATTTTTTTTTAAAAAAAATGTTATCAGGCTTTAAAAAGGCTCCCCTTTGTTATGCGTGCACCATAGTTGGTTCCAATTAGAACATCAAATTACTTAAGAAAACAGGTGGAGTTTGGTTGTTCCAAGCTTCTAATTATCTACCCACTGCATGAGCTTAGAATTAGAAGAATTACAAGAACTTCATTGTCATTGTTCAAGTACAACGAAACTGTGGATGCACCACAGCAACTGCATGCAATACAATAAAACCAGAGCACTTAAAAATGAAGATAAGAAAAATAGAGTACCCACGTCTCCATTTGCAATCTGAGAGTACAATGTCTACAATGATATACAATAGCTTCACAAGACCCCTACAGCTCAGTGATTTCTACCATTCAAAACCTTCACCTCTGCTGAGCATGCATGCTTTAGGTATGCGGAAGATGGAAACCTGGACAGCCAATGTCCTCAGGAGACCAGAGAGAGAGAAGACGCCTTTACATTCTGAGTTGATTTGACTGGTTTAGAATAGCAATAGCAGGTAGACTTATATACGGCTTCGTAGTGCTCTACAGCTTCTCTAAGCAGTTTATGGAGTCAGCATCTTGCCCCAATAATCTGGGTCCTCATTTTACCAACCTCAGAAGGATGGAACCATGGAGATGAGTGTCTTTGAAAACTGTTAGCTCCTAAATCTGGTTTAATAATGGACTCCTTTATTTCCTTGGCCTCCCCCTCCATTATTCAAGTACTGATATTAAGCATTTAAAACTGACTTGTTTTCTATGACGTTGGCATAATAACATGATAACATTTCCTATCATTAAGATAAGAATTCCCAAAATTTCAGATCTGTAAGTCTAGAGTTCTTTGATGCTATGGTTTTTGATCTCAAAGTTAGAGAAAAAGAACATAAAATATGATAGAAACATTTTCAGGCAGATCACAGATCAGAGGAAAAAATTGATATTAAGCATATTGTTTAAAAATATCAGAAGGAAAATGATAAATAAATCACTCAATAAATTCTCAATCTTTAATTTTTTTTCTTGGCATTTTATCTCTTTCCTTTGCTGACCAATACAGAGAAATGACGTGTCTTCTCATATATGCCTTGCATTCAATAAGAGAAGAGGATGCTGAATTTTCATTCATATTAACTTACATTCTTAGTTTGCTAGCCATTTGCTTTTGAAAAATGATCTACTGAAGAAGTTTTCAAAGATGTAATTTTTATTTTAAATGAATTCCTTATTAGTTTTTTTTAAAACGTGGAGTGTTGTTAGGTATTGCAGGCACACTTCATTCTGAAAAAAGAAGATTTTTTTTCAAAAAAGAAAGCACTGTTGATGTACATAACAACTAAAGATATCAACTTACTCAGTTGGATACCCTAAATGCCACATCTCAACAAAACTGCCTTATACATATAACTCTTGAATAGTAACTGTTGCTTCTCAGATAAAAGACTCATATCAACCACTGGATCATTATTTTAGCAAGTCCTTGAGGCCACCTGGAGGTTTATCTGTGTCATCAGGGTCATCTAGATGGTTGATTGAACAACATGTCAAAATTGAACAGCCCTCTCTCAACAGAGGGGAAGGAGTATGACATCACCTATTTCCAACCTACAACATAGTCCTTTCAACAGTTCCAAGAAGGCTCCACACCAATCTGCACCTCTTAGTGATCTGCTAAAAGAATGTAGATGATCAGCTGTCTACAAGGAATATAAATCCTTCCATTCCCCTCCATCCTTTGGAGCTAAAGAAGCTTCTTGGATGAGAAGTGAAACGTCTTCAAATAAAAACCAGAAAGTTCAGTTGCCTCTAGAAAAAAAAAATCATTGGGATACTTATGCTAGAGACAAGTTCAGGAGTCATTTTCAAACATTCAAATATCCCCTTGCTCTTCTTCAGTATAAGAAAATACCAAGGAGGCAGAGAACAGCTTTGATGGCATATCACAGTCTGCCTTGCTCAGATCGTAAGCCGTCTCTGCAGACCCATTTTTGAGTTGGTTAGAAGCATGCCTTTGGTACATTTCCTCTTTATCTCTTTAGTTACACCAATGGAGAAGGTAGTTATTTAAAACTCCCTCTAGCCTGGTTTCAGCTTTTATCATTTTTCTCTCTCCTTGTTAATGAACACAGAGTAAACTGATGAATTAAGTTAACAGGTGCCAGCTAGTTAGACCGAAAATTCTGCTAGATAGCTTCGAAGAACTCTGGATTCTTTTCCAAAAGTTTCTGCACTTTTGAAGCATAACGATACCCAAAGAAGTGGTGGCACCTTCTCTTTAAGTATTTAATGTCCCTCTTATCAATACTTGAAGAATTCACCTATTTCTGTTAAGGCGCCTGCCCAACATTTAAATAAGTTGGCAACTTTCCTGCCAATCCCCTCTGAGTGTTGACTTGAGAAACAGAACAGTGGATTACATAAAGAGGCAGACAGTCCTTTTCTTCAGTTAAAGAGAGGGAGGCCTTGAGGCTTTGTTTCACTTAATTACTAATTGCATCTCTTTCTAACACATTTGCTACCTTCAGTAGAGGGATCACAGATGCAAAAAGCAGGATTCCTGATTCCGTCTTTTGTAAGAGTTGATATGCAATAACAAAAGGAGCTCCTTTCATAGATTCTCACCTGTTGGTTTTTACATTTCAGCCAAAGGGACCTTGAAGGTTGTTCTTGATGTCTTTGATAGATTGACAATTTGTCTGAACTAAGTTAGAACTGAAACTTGATGCTTTAAAGTGACTGAGTCCTGATTTCTTTTCAAAGTGATTATTAATTTTTGTTTCCAAGAATTCCACCCCCGCATCCTTGACAAGTAAATAGCGTGCACACAGATGGGAATAGGATAAAGGTAGGAACACGTACCAAGAAAATATATATATAATGTAGTTATTTTCACACTGAAACTACAGTAAGTTATTCTCCTAACCCATTTTATATACGTTATATACATTGCTCCCTAGACATTTTTGTATTAAAATTTTATATGACTTGAATCAGTGGTTCTCAACCTGTGGTCCTTGGACCCCTGGGAGGGCCATGATATCATCACAAGGGGGTTGCGAAGGCTTGAAGAAATGTTATGATTTAAATTTTAAGTCTTGGAGGTTTGTAGGCAGGGGTGGGATTCTCCCAGTTTGGATCAGTTCGGGTGAACCCCTAGTTGCGATGATCAGCTGGCTCCGAACCGCTTCGATCCGAAGATCATGTGGGCCTACTGCTCTGTACTCACCGATATCTGCTCAGGTGATTTGCGCGGCAGAGCAGATTGACACGCCTTAGCTGTGTTACTTCCCTGAAGTAACATTGAAGGTAAGTAATTGCGATAGCTGTGCACACACACACTTGTGTTTAGTGAACCGGTTGTTACACTGGGAGAATCCCACCCCTGTTTGTAGGCCGTGGTTCATTTAAAAGGAGTCCATGGTGATGAAAAGGTTGAGAACCACTGACTTAAATTGTATACCCTTGATGGTGCAGTGATTGGAATGCAGTATTGCAGGCTAACTCTGCCCACAGTCCGGAGTTTGATTCTCACCAGCTCAAGGTTGACTCAGCCTTCCATCCTTCCAAAAATAAGGTAAAATGAGGACCCAGATTGTTGGGGATAATATGCTGATGTTGTAAACTGATCAGAGAGTGCTATAAAGCACTATGGAGCTGCGTATATTGTGCTATTACTATATAAGTGGTTCTGTTTGCTCTGCCGACCTATGTTCAAGCAAACCTTGAGCTATACAGCTAGTTCTTGACTTACAACCACAATTAGCACTGGAATTTCCTTGTGGTTGTAAATTGAGTCCAACCTGATTTTATGACCATTTTTACCACAGACATTAAGCAAATCACCACAGTCGTAAATGCAAACCCATTCTTCTCAATGGTTTTCTTTTTTTTTTCTTTGAAACTGCCAATCAGTTGTAAATGTGCGCTGGCTGCCAAGCCCCCAAATTGCAATCATGTGAAACATGGAGGTGGTGTGACTATCATAAGTGTGAGGACCAGTCATGTGAGAAAAAGACATTTTCAGCAGTATCATAACTTCGAATAGTCGCTAAATTAATGGTCCTAAGTATAAGAACTATAAGAACAGCCTGTGCATAAGAAAACTGATTGTTCCTTCTGGTAATCATTCCGGTGAGATTAAAAGGTAAAATTGCAGCTGGGAAGAATAAATACTGTATGAATAAAAATAATGGAGGGATATTTTTGTTTATTTCAGGAGCTTCCTAAAATTATTAGGAACTGAACTATCATCCAGTCCTACTGTCATTTTTTAAGACAGAAAATTGCAGTTCCAGATTTTTGTAGACCAGATACGTACTCATAATAAAATGTGTGGTTCAATTTATAGGCATGACAGATTTAATTATCTCATTGCATCCTTAAACATTTACTTGATTATCCATTGGAGACTAATTTTAATCAGTGAGACTGAGAGCATGCTTTTTTTGAAGGCTATTTTGGCACACACATTTCATCAATAGAATATGAGAAATATATTTAATGCATCCGTGCATGTCATCCTTTCTTTATAGAATTTTAGCTAGACTACGCATCCCTCAATATCGAAAAATGGCAGCTGATTGCTGCTTTCGGAAACCAGCAAAGTGGTTGAAATTGATCAACTGTTATTTTGCTTAATTGCTTGATTAAAGAAAATAGGTTCTCATTTTTATGTATTCATTTGGAAATTTAAATATTACCCACTCCAGAATGATTCTGAGCATGCATGTTTTAAAATTGGTAGCATTAAACCAGGGCCTGGTAAAAAAGGAGAAAAAAAGGCTTGCTTGAACTTCTGTGGCAGTTGGTTCAACAGTGAAGACGCTGATGTTGAAAGAACAAAATTTATCATTGAAGTTAAACATAGGATAGTAGATCGTCCTTCAGCAGCAGCTATGTAAGGCTTTGTACAGTAGGATTGCCACATCTTGTCTGCAAACATACAAATCTCAAATAGATGGCAGCAGAGAGAGATATAAAGTCTAACTCTGCTGTAATCTAATGGGCATCTGGATTTCTGCAACCTCCATAGGATATTCCACTTGTATATTAAAGGATATTTATACAGCTTGAGTTAGATTTGGAAGCAGCTGGTGACAAAACAAAATGAGTTCTTATACCTTGAGTTAGAACAGAAAGCCAGAAGACAACTTTGTTGAGATGGAAAAGAATCACGTCACCTCGATGGAACAAATTACTTTGTTCAATGGGATCTAAATAACTTTGCACAGATCTGTGGAGCTAGTGATGGCTAGAGTAGTCCCTAAAGTTTTCTTGGGAAGATTTCAGAAGTGCTTTTCTTTTCTTCCTAGAGAATGAATGCCTTGCCTACTTTCTAAAGAGTTAGTGCCTTGCCCTTTTCCTAAAGAGAAAGTGACAGGCTCAGGATCACATAGCTGGCTTTGTGACTAAGGCATGACTAGAATTCTTAACCTCCTAGTTTGTAGCCTGATGCCTTAACCCAGGAGTTGGCAACCTTAAATACTCAAAGAGCCACAAAGGTCCTAACTGGAAGCCGCCAATTGAATTTTGGAGCTGACCGGAAGTCCAGTTCCCCCACCATAGAGTCTCCTCCTAGCACGGTGTCCTTTTTCCTCTACCTATCCTAACCAA